ATAAGAAGCTTACAATCGCAAAAATCCTATAATTCAAAAAATAAAGCGAAAGTGTGTAGCGTATCGTAGTAACTCTATCATTAGTATGTTAATGTCATACATACACATACATATAAGCACTCGCAAGGTAACGACACGTGTTGAGGAATGTCTCCAGGGAAAGTCAATTTTGATATAAAACCCAAATAGCTGAGGCAATATGTTTTTGCTGAGTGGTAGCATATGTGTACAGCTGCGTATTAATGTCACGAACACATGAAGATATCTTAACTTTAAGACAGAATGAAAAGAAAGCTTCATAGACTACAGCAACCTGTTGAAAAAATGAGCATCCTCACGAAATGATTACTAATATTAAAGCCACAGGATTAATCGAGAGAATTCTTCATTTAGTTACTCTTTTTATAGCTACTTTTGATTAAACAACCCCTGATATGCAGATCTAAATATTTGCATAACATTGTCATCTAGCTAAATAAATGTTGGTAATCAATCCAATGATGAGTCAAGAAAAAAGTAGTATAAATTAATATATTTATAACAATCTACCCAATGTTCAATTTATTCGAAATTATCAAGTCAAACCTTGGTAATGATACACAAAAACGTATTATATACAAAAATAGTTCAGTTGAAATATATCCCATCAGTAAAATGAATTTCTCCAGCTAAATACTAAACCACTGTAAACTAGTTAAAAATACTTTTAATATTCAAGAATATTTGCTTAAAATGAAGAAAGACTTGATAAACGATTAGACGTTACTGAAAAGGTAAATCACTATTGAGTAATACTCAAAATGGACTTTTCTCATAAAAACGTTATACTAGAAATTGATTGATATTGGGCCGAACTTCTGACATAATATTTGCTCACACAGCAATAAAAAGCCATCTTTAATCATAATGACACAACAATCAGATTTACATTATCTTATTGAGTACTTAAATGACCTGTTTAACCAAAACATTTCTTCTTAGAAGTTTTTTGAAATTATATTGCTTTTTATACGGATAGGAAGTATTTGCTTGGTATTTTATGTCGTAATCTACCGAATGCATACTTCCACAAAGTTTATAAACCAAACGATACAAAAACACTCATTGCTTTGTATATTATTAAAGTTAACTACCATTCAAATAATTATTATTTAATCTATCCTGGACCTTCAACACCTACTTCAAACCGGATTGTTTAAACTAACTCGTATACAAAGTATATACAGTTGATTTAAATATGTGGGTATTATTTTACATAGTGAAACGAAGTGTTTATTTATGGGAAAACCTGAAAGAAAATAATTACCACTAAGAGTTATAATATCATCTGATCTCTTTACTTGAATGATGCTACATTTGTTCGTCTACAACATCAAAATCACAGCATTTAGATTTGCTAAAATGGTAAATAAATAAATAATTGAGTTTTCAACTGATTCTTAACTTTTGCAATAGTATTGCTGTAGCTGTTACTTTAAAGGACTAAACTGGTCAGACTTTGATGACTTATGTTTGCATGGATGCTTCTATTTATACTAGTGATTGAGTATCCATCTGTATTTTTGTATTATTTTCCTGTTTCCTCCTGTTTGTAGCATACATATCCACTCAATCACAAACAATACTTTTAGATATATCCAACTAAGTAAAATAAACATAAGTGGCTGTCCCATACTACCAAAATTACAACTCTCAGTAGTTTATTGAATAGATGAAATGTGGTTAGCAGTAGAATGCAGGACTCACGTTTTGTCCTATCTGGGACCCGTTAGTTGGATGTATCTGGATCTCGGTGTTAATAATATCAAACAGTTAAATGTGTCTCTTATTCCCAGTACTTGGAGGTCAAATAATCTAGTAATAAGGGTAAGTACATTGTATCCGATTGATTCCTGTAAGATCGGATACTTTTGAGATAGAAACAAAAATTAATCTTAACGTTTGAAGGAAAAGATATTGAGTTCGATTCCGAATTTGAATACAGTCGAGGCACATACAGCCAACGAGACCAATGCCTTGGATTCGCTTGTTAACCATAGTCCATCTATTCCTAATATCTCTAGTTAAATTACACTTTGAGCATAAATTTGAGAAACAAATTCCAAAAAACATCTATATTCAGTAATGATTAGATAGCACATATAAATAACTAGTACCAGGAACTTTCAGTATATATATCATTACCGTTAAACAACAACATCTGTTTGAAGACCATTTTCGTAAAAAACTGCCATCAGAGGGAATACCACTGAAAACCAGTACGAAACTAAAGTGAGATAGCTATCCGATGCTCCTTAATTTCCACTGATTCTTCAGCTTATTTTGGATCATAACGAAAACTACGTGCAAATTAAATCAACCTTTATAAACCACTCAACTGAACATAATCTGTCTGTTTTCTACCCTTACACAATCTAGTATAAATGATTATTTATTTACACATGATTTAGTAGGTTGATACTTCTAGTTAATCATGTTCACCGTACACAAATATTATTCAATATTGTCTTTGTTATCCAAGGTTATATCCTGTTGTGCCGATTTACTTTTTTGATGAAAACTTGCAGAAAAAATTAATGTTACTAGTAATAACAACTAATTTAATGAGGAAGAATGGGATCAGTCACCAGTTTACGACACAATATAATCCAGGGTGGTTCCAGTGTTTTTTTTTAAATTTTTCTTGACCATTATAAACACCAATATTCCACTCATATTTTCTTATTATCACTACAAGCTTAGCATGAATGAAACGGTAGGCAAACAAAAACGGATAAACTTGGGACACTTTTAACCCGGTAGTTGCATAAATTTATTTCCTGAACTATTATCAGAATTGGACAACTAGTTCTTTAAAATCGAGTGTTAGTGCTTACTGTTATTGATCAGCACGGTTTTCTAGAGCTTAATTCTAGTATCCAAAAGCAGAGCACTGAATAGTCATATAGCACAACTAATTTTAGTGAATGTATTGGACATTTTATTTGGTTGGTTTCAGCCGGCGCTGAAGAATAAGGCCTAATGCTGATTGTTTTCATGTCATAAAGTGTTATGAATCCAGAAATCTAGAGAATTGAGAGATTTAATGCCTAACAGATCAAAAAGGGTGGAAACTGAATGAATTAAAATAGTGATAATAAGTTAACCCCTTAAAAATATATGTCATATTTTTAGTGATGCAACACCTAACTTTTAATGGGTAAACAGTACGTGCTAGAATAATCGATAAACTATGAACCAAACTGATATAGCTTCAACATAATAATTAGGCGTTCTTATCACAACGACTTAATTAGGATTTATTGTCCGAAACACTCATTAGCAAAGGTCCCACCACGCAAACCCAGTCCGTTGAGAAGTAAAAATAAAGGCATAAAATCTCAGTTCCAGAAGCAAATTTATGCTACCAGCTGTACTGAGGTGTAGCAGTCGTCAAATTTTCCAGGCGGATAATCAGAATTTGAGGTGATATTTTACCATGGTTGGAAAGAGGGGGTGGTCCTAAAGTACCAAATTCATTTAGCTATCCAAGGTTTTGATGTGCTCGTAAGGTTTAGAAAGTACGAGGTTAACTTTAAAATTAAAAGCAAATACTATATAGATGTGACTGGGCTTAACTAGTCACCCTTAAGACTTTAAATCCAAAGTCATAGAAAACACAGATACTAATTTTGTTTTTCTCTGAGATTCCCCAGTAAGAAATAAACTGCCACATGGGTGGTCATGAGCTGTCAGGTTTCCATAAGCTATAAAAAACACAAAAATGTGTGGGTTTATTCTCAGTGATGGTTGGATTATCACGAACAGAAAATTGCACTATGGCAATCAAGCCAAATGATGGACAATCACTATGTAGTCTATTTCACCACCAGAACCACAGAAATAATCATTAGAATTCCAGGGTTCGTTCGGCTTCCGTCACGAAGTAAATAAAATCTCAAAGAAGTAGATGTCTTTAAGATATTAAATAGTATTACCCAATCAGATATTCCTAAAACGCTTCACAAGAAGATTAAGTCTTTTGTCAATGGATTACGAACTCATATATAAGTACCAGAAATCACAAAAACAGGTTACACATCTTCATATCTATTTCAATTATAAATTTAATATCAGATAACATGTTAAGACATATTCAGTAATTCATTGATAACAAGAGAACCTAACATTAACACAAGATAATAATTAAGCTCTTACAAAACAAAGCCGGAAATCAATTACAAAAGTGCAGTGATTACTTAATCCACGGTAACCCAACGTTGACATCCAATTAAAAATTGCTAGTCAGTGCTTTGGATACAAAAATCAAACCTTACTTTATTCTTAGACAACGTATAAAAATCTTACACATGTCCTAATTTGAACCTGCCCGCAATCGGACAAAACTAGGTGAATCCAAAAAAACGTCCAAGCTTTTTAAAAAAAGTAATCGTCCAATAGAGTGCCTGAACGGGCATAGTCCATGTTACAACGCAGGCTTAGGGACTACATAAGATGAGTGGTTGAGATATCTTAAGAATTCATGGTAACAACGACCTTTGATAGTAGACTAAACGAGTTCTTACTACACAGTATACTTAACAATGATACGTGAAAGACTAGAAACGCTTTAAGACTAATTAAAAAAAGGCAATGCATGTAGTTAGACGAAATCACAATGTTTCAGTTAGTTAGTCATATGAACATGTACTGGCTGTCTCACGAATGATATGATGCTTTTATCGCCCTTACGAAATCAGTAAATCGTTCCAATGTTATATATATGTGGAATTTAAAACTCCAACACTAATGACATTCAATTAAGATCATCTGAAGTAAACGTACACAATACATTAATCTACTAAACAGACTGTCACTGGTATTTTTATATGGAAATAGGATTAAATTCTCAAACTATCGATAATTTCATAAGCACATTCGGGAAACAAGTCATATTTTGTGACCTGGACTTTCAGACAGTTCAAATAGAAAACAGAAACAAGAGTGAAGAAACCACTCACCTCGTGATCCATTCTCATTCACTTTAATGGCCGTGTGTGAAAAATGTCAATTAAATCACACCACTTACACGCACTGAGCGTGCTCTGTTTGTTTGTCTATTTGGTGTGTCTGTCTATCCCATATGACCATTAATCTACTATTTATCATATTGGCTGTGTGGCCCTCGATCTAGCCTATATGTAACTCATTAGGACGTTTGGTAAAAAACCAAAAAAAAAGTTAATTGTCAGGTTGTGTACTTAATTAGCCATCATCTCGAAAGTGCAGAAATCTAATAGACTTTACAAAATGACCACCCAGGCTCTACGTATAAATATTCTCTGCTTTAATGTGTACATGTTATGTGGTTTTCTGACCAACATTTCCTTATGGTCCGACATTCAGCCCTAACTTCCGTCTAGGTAATAACTCAAATTATAAAAAATAAAAATGACCTTACAATTAGGAGAATTAATTGTTCACTGACCAAATAGCCTTTGCTTTGCGCCCTACTGAGGATCAATGTATGAAGCGCCCACCTACGCTGGTTTGAATATGAAAAGTGATTCTAAATACGGATACAAATTTCTGTCTTACTGTGAATAAAGAGATGAATAATTTACCTTCCATTCATTAGTTCAGCAGAAGAGGAATTGAGCCGGTGATAACAGGTAATAAGTATTATAATCATGACAGTAATTACCGGTTACTTTTACACTACACTGAAAAGTTGTGCAGAATTTAATTCCAAATATTTGTGATCAAATATACCATCTCATTCACATTTCTATTGTCTGATGTGTATAGGTCATCCTATAAAACATCGCCGTAGTAGTGAGTTCTAGTAAATATTCTTAGTATCCCACCAAACTATAAATAAACTGGAGATTAACCTATGTTACCTGATAGATAATTAAGGTTACTCACTCACGCGTGTGTTTGCATACTGACAGGTATGACTTATTTAATTGGCTAAATATAAGTTTAAAGCTGCATTCATAAAAACCTCGTACTTAACTTGAACTGCTGAACACCTATATGTAGTTTATCAAATAGTAATATTTTTCAACACTAAAAGGCTGCTGTCCTTACTTGTGTTGGTTTGTTTTCTTTTCAGAAGAACGTGATAGTGTGATTAGTGCAACTGTGATCTTATCGCATAATGCTTCGTAAAGATTATGTTCACGTTTTAGTTGAAAAAAAGTATTGTTGTTGCATACCTGGTTGTCGAGTCAGAAGGAAGTAAGGAGTGAATGAAGACCACTCGAATACACCTGATTTCCACTTCTGACTATCCTCGTCATACCACCACGGTATGAATTTCTTCAACAACTGAATTAGCCAGTGGTAAAAGCACAAGTTGTTTCGACGTATATATCGAATAAGTATGGTATCGATGATTGGTGAAGTAGATGAAGTAACGAGGTAACTACTGATGGTTGATTGCAATAAGAAAAGACTTACTCAGGAAAACATGCCACGTTTAAGAAACTAAGGCTGAAATTAGGTTTGGGGTAAAGGGTTGAGGGTTATATAGGGATAGTATACAGCGTTGGGATGTACAACCAAGAGTTTTATTAGAATTAAGATGTGGAGTTTAGGGTTAGATAGGCCTAATGTCAATCTTTAAATCATAAACTTTAAATTATGAGCTTTATATTTTGATTCTGACTCCAGAGCCTAAATTATGCGTCCCAAACCTAAATTGATCTAAATACTAAGCCTAAAACCTGATCATAACACCATACATAGCTCTTCTATATTTGCTTCATTCTGTATAGGTGAATGTTTCGGCGGCTTATCAAAGTCATTCACAGATTTTCTTAGGCTCGCCCATATAGTTTAGCCCTATCAAACATATTGGTATCTGAAATATACTTCCGATGAAGTGGTAGACCATAGCAGATACTTTCAGTGAAGCTGGTCATAAGTACTCCACCTAAATTTTCTGTGATATAGGAGTAATCGTTTGCAGCAGACAAAGGGTGTTCTGAAAGTAGTATTCCCGAACTTAGTCTTGAAATGACATATTTTTTGGCACCAATTTTAAGACTCTATAAATTTATGAAGATATTCCGTCCAATATTTGTACTAACTATACACCTGATTCTTAATTGAAATAGTCGGATTCAGCTAGTCCAGTGGAATACGTAACTGATGTTTTTGACAAGGAGCCTTTTATTGAACATCATGAACGAGATTTTCGTAGAAGCTTCTCACTTATCTCTTTGGTAACACATGTGTAATATTTATGTGTGAGTGTAAATCTATTTGATAAGTTTATTTGAATAAAATACTGTGATTTGTAATGCTAAGGCTTCTTCATAAATTTACTAACAATGAATATAAGATTGTTTTTATCCGAAAGACTGTAATAATAGACTTAAATCCAGCAAAATACATGAATAGGACGTTAAACAATAATCAAAGTCATGTTCTAGTCATTTTGTTGATTAAAATCTGTCAGCCAAATTATGAAAAGTGAATATTTACCTATATGATATGATATAGCACTTTAAATAGCTCAGTATAAACACCTCAGACTATGAAACTGTTGATTCGAATTCAAACCCCATACTCAATATCAGTTTCCTTAAAATCACAAGTTCGCATTGCTAACAAGTGATGTCTGACATGAAAACTAGGTTCAGGATTTCCTCCTGACCAACTCCAATAACCTAATTCCAATCTGTTCACGACTATCATCCACACTCCTTAACAAAAAGAAGCCAATTAGCACAAAAGTATTAGGTTTTTCATTCTGAAAGTAGAATCTCTTCATAAAAGGGACGAGATGAGACTACAGAAAGTTCAGTAACGAACAGTTTGAATGAAATACGATTTCACCTTTGTTTTACATTGTAAACTAAACCTACAACGTAGGATACACTTCGCTCATAAACAAACTCACTAAACAGGAAGTTACATCTTTTATCTATCTGCAGATACATCATAATGGTTCATGATAATAAAAAATAATAGTAATAATAATGGTAGTAATGATAATAACGTATTAAAATATACCGAAACAAACAATATACATTGTTCACTGCAATTACAAACAAGAATAAGGATAAACCATTAAAGTTGACTTATTTTCTGACAGTTTATTAAGACTCACCGTTCATTTAAACCGAAATCAGCTCATTTCAATAAAGCGAATTAAATTACACCTTACTGAAAAGAATTCTCACTCATTAGACTTACATAGCTAAAGAATAAATAAGATTATAATTATAGCAAGAGGAGTTGTGGAGATTATTTAATTTTGTAGTTTGCATCATGAATTAAACTTAGTAAGGCAACCAATGGGAACCAGGAAAAACAAACATGTGACTCCTCGTTAAATACGGATTGAAAGCCATCCCTTAGAAATCGAACCCAGAGCCTTCGGGTCTTCGTGAACTTCAAGCTATTGTGTTGTTGTCTATTGGTTTACATACCTAACTTCAGTCAATTCACAACACTGGATGGGCATTATCCCGTGTTAGGCATATGAGAAATAACGCTAAAGCAAATGGATGATGGTTGAAAAATATTGGCTTAAGTTGAGCTTGTAAACTGTTGGATGCTAAGTGCGCAGAAGATTAAACACTCACTGACACGCTTGATGGTCCTGGGTGCGATCTCTGGTGGGATCTTGGATGGGCATTACTAAGCGGTAACACACAAGGACAAAGTATCTGTCTAATGTATACTGGTTTTCAGTGGTTGTCAAGCTAATCTCAATTTGTGGTGTAAACTACGAAAAGAACTCATGATACTAACGATAAGTTCTTTGAAGTAGTAAAATACTGAATAAACGCTATTTTTGTTCTAATTTCAGCTGTTTATAAGTTTGTATCGTTCGAGAAAATGTCAGAAGAGTAATTTTTGAAAATAGGAGAACAGTGATTTCATCTTGTAATGAATGCTCAAGAATTCAAACATGTTTTTATCATTCTGTATGTGGTTCACCCCAAAGTGGAATCTGTGTTGACTCATACCTTTGAATAATATGCAGTTTACCCATCTCTGAACTAATGTTGTAATGTAATTAAAAATGATTTGATCAAACATCTCAACAGCTGTGAATACAAGTAAACAAATCGTCTTATCTATTTGGTCAATTTGGATCCTGTATAATATAGAATTTTGAGGGAACTAACCACCAAATTAAAATTTTTATGGAATATTACATCATTGATAAGAATGAAACAAATCTGATTGATTATCTTTCTATAGATGTACAGAATATAGCATATATCTTATCGAAGAAAGCTAATTATGTGGTTGTATGTTGATGGGAAAAAGACGTCTATTGTTGTTAATTCTGTTTTTGATCCGATCACGATAGTCAATTAAGTACATCCCAACTTGAATAGCTCATCGTTTGGTATTAACAAAACAGAAGCAATCCCGTACAAAGTTAATTATTTTAGCCCTATCTACTAATATCTTATGATAAACATAGTCATGATATGACATATATCAACCAGTTCTCTTGTTTTAAGTAGTTTATTTTTTATTTAATATTATCAGAGACTTGTTTCAACTAGTTAACCACTGAAAACCAAAAAACCTTCGGACAACTATTTTGTCCTATTTTATAATTACAATTCAACAGCCCATACCTATGACCCCATATAAGATTAAACCTACAACCTTCAGGTCTTTTGATGAGTATAGTTTCTTCAAATTCTGGGTTAGAATTCAATTTTGCATGCTTTTAACTTCAGTTTATTTGTAAAACAGTACGATACTAACTTAGTATTACCGATTCATTACAGTGAATAGGCAGATACCCATGAAGTCATATACTAGAATGAAAAAGATGTACAGTACCTCATAGTATCAAATAGCCTTCCAGATGATGTTGTTTCATGATGGAAATTGAGTTAAATATTGGCAGAAATCTCCAAGAAATAACTTGAAGATAATATGTATTTTTAGAGACGAAAATACATTTACAGAATGTTGATTCAAAACTTAATTTTGATAAGTCGGAAAATCATAAAATCTAGTCTTATTCTTTAGAAATATTTCTAACCCATCCATTATTTCTAGAAAATGAAAATCTGCATATTCGTCCTCCAAATGTTGTTTTGAGATAAGTAGAGAACTGGCTTTTTGCA